TGAGCATCTGCAGATGACAGATTTACTCCAGCCCGGATAATACTGGTGTCAGACATGCAGATACAGAAAATACCAAATCCTGCGATCAATATGACAGCTACTAGACCATAGATGGCATTAATCTTGATGTTGCCACAGGACAATTTGGCCACATACATATGATCACAGTAGGTGTGGAGGATGAATTTGCCCCTGAAGAAGGGAAGACGTTTGATCAGGAAAGTGAATGGGATTGTGAGCAACACACTTCTACTGAAGGTGGCAAACCCAACCTTGGTAATTACAGTGTTGGTGAGGATGGTAGAATAGCGTAGAGGATAGCAAATGGTCACCCAGTGATCCAGGGCCATGAGCACGCCAGACTCCATACTTGTCAGCATGTGGATGAAAAACATCTGCACAAGTCAGGCATTAAAGTCAGTCTCTTTGAGATTGAACCAAAAGATACATAACATATTAAGGACATATGAAGTAAACCCACTAATATCCGTAAGGGAGAGCAAGGCCAGGAAGTAGTCCATGGGTCGATGCAGGGCCTCCTTGTGGCTGATGAGGTAGATGAGCCCACAGTTGCCCACAACAGTGATGACGTACATGAAGCAGAATGGCAGGGAGATCCAGGTGTGTGCAGCTTCCAGCCCAGGGATCCCATTGAGAATGAAGTATCTTGGTGTCAGGCTGGAGCTGTTGACCCCATGCATGATAGTCAAATGCAAAGCATGTTACTTTCTGTACCAATAAAAATGTCCTATACAAGAAGATAGTAGTGACATTACTTTCATTCTGAGACAAAAGAGGAACAAGCATTTTGCACAATATAAATAAAAATTCAAGAGAAAAATAATCTTTTTGTATCCACACTGTTATTTGATTCTACTGAGTACTACTGAGCCTATTAATGAATCAAAAGAATGCAAACATACTGCAAACGTTGTAACAGAGACCTGATCTTCCTTGGTTTTATTCTGTAAACTCTGTTGATGTGCACATGCTCATATTCTCAGGCCATTTTCTAGTGCTTGTTTCTGCTCCCTTGACCTGTTTCCAATTTATCTTTCTGTTGAACAATACTGATTCTTTTAACTTCTCACTTCTCTTTTAATTCCTTCTTCCAAGAAGTCTTTGCAGACATGTTGGCTGGATTGTAATCAGTTGAATCATATGAGCACTTATTACACACAGGTAAAATGTGTCTACCTATTACATACAGGTACGATGGAGCTGAGGATTGTCTAGATTTTACCAGTCTATGCCTTTCAAGTCTGGATTTTCCAAGTCAAAATAATCAAAGATAAGATTTGGTGGGCCAAAATTACTTAGTACGTTATAACTTAGATATGGAGGCCACAGTCATTTCGCTCTATATATCTGGTTGTTTCTTGCTGGTAAACATAAAAGATTTTACTACTTGCATTTAACCAATGACATTGTAAAGTACTATGCAATTATCACAGTTTCTCTTAGTTTCCAAAATTTCCATGTAGATAAGCATACTATATAAATAATCATAATTATTTTAGTCTTTTTGTTATATTCTGTTTGGCCTCAAATAACTATGAAAATTATACTGGATAGGGTGAAAGTTTTCTTACTTATTTTGTTTTTTGAAAACAGTTTTCTATCTTTCTTCAATGCTCTGGGATGTGGTTTTAACCTGAAAGGTTTTTGATTGACACTATGACTTCAGGTCATTTTTCTTTCCTTTCTTTTGTTTTTGAGAAAACTCCTCTTTATCTTATGTTTTTAAAATGCTTTCCTTAGTCATTGTTTTCAACAGTCTTACTCATTTCCCACAGCAGTGTATTGTATATCTTGTTGCATTTACAAAAATTAATTTATGTATTCCTTTGGTATACTTCAGTCTACCCCATTAAGCAGTATTTTCCAAAGTTCTAATTTTGATTGTTTCTTTTGATTGTTTTTCTCTCCTGTGTGAGTGTGTGTGTGTGTGTGTGTCTGTGAAAAGAGAGAGAGAGAGAGAGAGAGAGAGGAAATGAGCCTAAGAATTTTCTATATAAATGGTTGGTTTGTGTGTTTTTATCTATTACTTTTAACAAGTGAAAAACTTTTCAAATGATGTCATATAAACAATATATAAAAATGATAAAAAGCAATTTTCTTTCTAGAAAGCATGAAAAGACTAGAATTGATGGGTTGTTAAAGCAATTTGCTCAGCTGTAAATTGAGCAAACCAGGTAAACATTAAGTATATGATGGAAATTTTCACCACAACTTGGAATATATAGTGCTATGGTAATTATTGTTAGTATTATTACATTATTTGTCTTTATAAAATAAATGAGACAAAACAATATCTAGCCTCTTTATATAATTGCTCAGAGCCAAAGCTGACATCCCTGTAGTTGTTTACAACATCCTATACAATTAGACCTCTTTGGAATTTCTAGAGGTGCCTGGGTGGCTCAGTTGGTTAAGCGTCCAACTTCAGCTCAGGTCATAATCTTATGGTTTGTGTTTGAGCCCCATATTGAACTGTGCTGACAGCGCAGAGCCTGGAGCCTGCTTCAGATTTTGAGTCTCCCTCTCTCTACCCCATTCATGCTCTGTCTCCCTCTAAATAAATAAATAAACATTAAAAAAAAAAAAAACCTCTGGAATCTCTAAATGTGCCTCCCACTGCTCTAACCCTGACCCCCTCAGTCTATCCATACCTACTGGATGCTTTTCAAACTCAGTAAGCATGTGTACAATCCAGGGTGTTTACACTTGCCACATTCACTGTCTGTTTTGTTATTCCCCGGATAATACCATGCTAAATATCTTCACCGGTTCTAGGTCTCTTCTCAGTGTCAGACCCAAATTAAGGATTTTCTTTACCCTAATTCAAAATCATAAGCCCCAAATCTGGTGCAGTCACTCTGGAAAATAGTGTGGAGTTTACTCAAAAAATAACAAAAGAATTCACCTATGACCCAGCAATAGCACTGCTAGAAATTTATCCAAGGGATACAGGAATGCTGATGCATAGGGGCACTTTTACCCCAATGTTCTTAGCAGCACTTTCAACAATAGCCAAATCATGGAAAGAGCCTAAATGTCCATCAGCTGACGAATGGACAAGAAGATGTGGTTTATCTATATAACGGAATACTACATGGCAATGAGAAATAATGAAATCTGGGCATGTGTAGCAACATGGATGGAAGGTGTTATGCTAAGTGAAATAAGTCAGGCAGAGAAAGAGATAACATATATTATCACTCATATGTGGATCAGGAGAAGCTTAACAGAAGACCGTGATGAAGGGGAAGGGGAAAAATAGTTAAGAGGGAGAGAAGCAAACCATAAGAGACTCTTAAATTCTGAGAACCAACTGAGGGTTGATTGGGGTCGGGGAGAGAGGAAAATGTGTGATGGGCATGGAGGAGGGCACTTGTTGGGATGACAACTGGAGGTTATCTGGAAACCAACTTGACAGTAAACAATATTAAAATAAGTAAATTAGTTAATTAAATAAACACTAAAAAAAATAAAAAACACTAAAAACAAAAAAAATAAAATAAAATTTTAAAAAACCCACAAAAAAACCCCACAAAGGATTTTTAAAAAAAAATTTTTTTTTTTTTGTACTTGGAGATTAAAGAAGACCCTACTAAAGAGTGAATGGGTTAACCAAGAAGTTAAGGAGGAAATAGAAGTACATAAAAGCCAGTGAAAATGATAACACCAAGCCCAAAACCTCTGGGATATAGCAAAGGCTGTCTTAAGAGGGAAGTATATAGAAATTCAGGCTTTCCTAAAGAAGGAAGAAAGGTCTCATATACACAACCTAACCTTACACCTTAAACAGCTGGAAAAAATCAGCAAATAAAACCCCAAAACACAGAAGACAGGAAATAATAAAGAATAGAACAGAAATCAATGCTATCAAAACAAAAAACAACAACAACAAAAACCCAAACAAACAAACCAGTAGAACAGATCAATGAAACCAGGAGCTGGTTCTTTGAAAGAATTAACAAAATTGATAAATCACTAGCCAGTTTGATGAAAAAGAAAAAGGGCCCAAATAAATAAAATCAAGAATGAAGGAGGAGAGATCACACCAAGAGTGCAGAAATACAAACAATAATAAGAGAATATTATGAACAATTATACTACAATAAATTGGGGAATCTGGAAGAAATGGACAAATTGCTAGAAACATATACACTACCAAAACTGAAATGAGAAGAAATAGAAAATTTGAACAGAACCATAACCAGTAAGAAATTGAATGAGTAATCTAAAATCTCCTAAAAATACAGAATCCAAGGCTGGATAGCTTCCCAGGGGGGATTCTACCAAACATTTAAAGTAGATTTAACACTTATTCTTTTGAAGCTGTTCCAAGAAATAGAAATGGGAAAAACTTCCAAACTCTTTCTATGAGGCGAGTGTTACCTTGATTCCAAAAGCAGACAAAGGAAACTAAAGACCAGTTTCCCTAATGAAAATGGATGCAAAAATTCTCAACAAGATACTAGCCAACTGGATCCAACAATACACTGAAAGAATTATTTACCACAATCAAGTGGGATTTATACTTGGGATGTGGGTTGGTTCACTATCTGCAAATCAACGAATGTGATAATCACATCAATAAAAGAAAGGACAAGAACCACATGATCTTCTCAATAGATTCAGAGAAAGCATTTGATAAAATGCAGCACACTTTCTTGATAAAAACCCTTAAGAAAGTAAGATTAGAATGATCATACTTCAAGATCATAAGAGCCATATTTGAAAGACCCACTGCTAATTCATCCTCAATGGGAAAAAACTGAGATCTTTCCTGCTAAGGCTAGGAACATGAGAGAGATGTCCACTCTTGCCACTGTTATTCAACATAGTATTGGAAGCCCTAGCCTCAGCATTCAGACAACATGAAGAAATAAAAAGCATCCAAATTGGCAAGAAGGAAGTCAAACTTTCACTCTTTGCAGACAACATGATACTTTATATGGAAACCCAAAAGATTCCACCAAAAAACTGCTAGAACTGATCCAGGAATTCAGCAAAGTCGCAGGATATAAAATCAGTGCACAGAACTTTGTTGTATTTCTGTATTCCAATAATGAAGCAGCAGAAAGACAAATCAAGGAATTGATCCCATTTACAATTGCACCAAAAACCATAAAATAAAATATCTAATAATAAAACTAACCAAAGAGGTGAAAAATCTATACACTGAAAATTATAAAAAGCTTATGAAAGAAATTGAAGAAAACACAAAAGAATGGAAAACCATTACATGCTCATGGACTGGAAGAACAAATGTTGTTAATGTCAATAATACCCAGAGCAATCTTCATATTCAATTCAATCCCTATCAAAATAACATCAGTATTCTTCAAAGAGCTAGAACAAACAATACTAAAATTCATATGGAAGCAGAAAAGACTCTGACAAAGCAGTTCTGGAAAAGAAATCAAAGCTGGAGGCATCACAATTCCAGACTTCAACCTATATTACAAAGCTGTAATCATCAAAAGAGTATGGTACTGGCACAGAAACAGACACTCAGATCAATGGAGCAAAATAGAGAACCCAGAAATGGACCCAGAAGCATATGGGCAACTAATCTTTGACAAAGGAGGAGAGAATATCCAATGGTATAAAGACAGTCTGTTCAAAAAATATTGTTGGGAAAACTGGACAGCGACGTGCAGGAAAATGAACCGGGACCACTTTCTTACAC